CGATATCATAGTTGTTTCTTAAACGAATTACTTAGAAACATTACCTCACCAGCAAATCGGTTTCAAATATTTCTGACTTTCTTAGAAAATCAATCCTGTGTTATAACATATTTTTACAGCTTTCAAAGAATCACGCACGCAACGCGAAGATTGTTCTCTTCCAAAGCTTTTGGAGGTTTTCATTTTTTCGTCACGACTAAATGGTTGCGATAAAATGCCAAGTTTAAGCTCTAATTCAACTGACTTAAATGTAGTGGAAATTGAATCTAGCAGCAGTGATTCATCAAGAAAGTTCTCAGCAGATGTCTACTCCTTGTATCCTACCGACAAAATACTCACCTATACATTGGAGATGTTTTCAGATCAATTTTATTGATTGGTGCTTAACTAAATTCCTTAAAGACTGAGTCGAAAAACCATATGTCACTACGTTTTCATCAGTTTGTGGAAGTATGCAGAGTGGGGAGAATCGCTGGATGTGACTAGCGCTTTCACATCAAACTATGTTGCATTCTGTAATTATTTCGTCTAGCAATATAAATACTCCAAAAGATCAACATACTATAGCCTCACTCACATTCATTGTTGCTAACCTTCATCATTCATGAGTCTGAGTCATCATGTTATTTGGCAAGCAGTCTTGTTGCTTTCACGTGCTAGAACATGACATCCAGGTTCCTAAGGACTGACTTCGGATTAAAGACGTCGATGCCAAAATATATTTCGTGTGTGGCGTGGTTTACTAGTTGTTTTTTAGCCAACACCAAATAAATGCATTCAGTCTGAAGGATATCAACGTATGTATACCTCTCTAATTACCCAATAAGTTTTCGAGGATGACATGCAGATTCAGCTTAGCGTTATTTTGTTCCAATCCGGATCAGATTTCCCAAACGACCGCAAGGCATTTCTCTGTCCGATCAGAAATGTCAATAGGATCCGAGCCTTGGCAGTGAAACTCTATAATAGTGGGGTATTTTTGCTCTTTTTTACAAGGTTATAATGATTATTAGCTGACATGGACTTTTCTAATCAGCGGTATTATTTTTAGCGAAGTTATTTGTTCCCATACGTCATCCTTCCTTTCGTGAAGTCTTTTCATCAGTAAAAGCAAGAAGCAATAGAGACTCAAACAGTCGAACTACTTGAGCCGTGACCTTTGTTCTTTATTAAGTCCTGGAAAGCTAAATGCTGATACCAAAGAAAAGAAGCTGCTTATTGATGAGTAATGGGCACCATTCGCAATCAATAGTGCAAGTTTCAAAGACCAAACAAGTTTCCCTAATCTGGGCAACATCGTAACAACTTCGCCCAGGCTGAAGCAGTGAGGACAACAAGCGTAAGATTATAGAACCTTAAAAACACGGTATTATATGGCCACTCAGATGTTGTAAATGACTCAGGGACTCAAAAGGATGGAACGAGCAACCAAATGGAAACTATACCTTCTTTATGGTTTGCAAGGCTTTCTTTCTCTATTTGGTGGTGAGTATTCTTCCGTTTGTTTGGATGGGTATTCCCCGCTTCACCTGCCCTCTGCCGTGCTTGCCGAAATAAAGTTTCATAGACACCATTGGTCTTCTACAATATTACAGGTCGTCGGTTGGTAATTCGAGTATTCCTTTGGGCGTCAGTGTTAGTTTCTGGAAGATCAGTAAATCGAAAAAGACCTCAGTTTTTCTGAAGCCGGGTTTTTGATTGTGTTGTCTTCAGCATTATGTGCGGGATTTGGATTTTCAAGGCTAATGTCAAGTCACTTCTTCTATATCATTTAAAGACTTTCTGTCTCACGAAAGTCATTTCCAACAGGCTACAAACTGTCACCAGTGTCTGCCTTCGCTCCACAGTTAAGTTTAGATATCTGTTCAGAAAGGACTAGCACCTAGGAACTCTAGGAACGTCCTGACAATAGCCTGTCGCCCAACGTATATGCCCAAGAAAATGGAGGTGGGTTAGACAAGGGCTTGGGAGGTTTCTTAGGGCACTGTATTGGATCAAATACGTTCGTCAGGCCAATTGAATCCCAGCCAGTTTGGTGACAGATCAGTTTGTTTTTCTACACTGGCTGGATCAGTTTGCGAATTATAGAATCTTCAAGGATCAAGAACGTGACTGCATTCTGTGCTGTGATTGAATTGACTGATTTTAATATCTTCATACCATCCCCGATAAATGCACCTTTGGACAACCGAAAAGGTTATAATCTGCCTTCCCTAGTTAGGATGGTCTTAGGAGCAGCCCGGCCACCAGGTTGGGTGGGTGGAATCCGGATAAGGAACGACGAGTTTGGTAGGGGAGATCGTCTTGGGAAGAGACGATAACCTACTGGCTGCGTGAAGCCTGTTAAAGAGGACTGAAGGGAGAAGGGCGAGATGAAGATATACTTCTGAAGCCCTTTGTTCCACTTGGAGCCCATGTGTACAGCCTACTCTTCCCTAGTGGGGTCACGATGACGCTGGGATGAAACCGGTTGGATGCCAAAGCCTTATGGTTGCACCGTCTGTACAACTCTTCTGATGAGCGTCAGCAAGGTTACAATTTTGTCATCTGCTTATATATCATAAAATGTTATTACTTTATTCCAAACAATAATAATGTTGTGTACCTACAAGGATTCGTTTAAGCCACGTACGCTGGTTCTCGAGCTTCGCTTGCTTCTAGTCCAGTTCCTAAACAAATTTCGAAATCATACAGATGCTGATGAAACTTCTTAGAGTGTGCAAATAATGCTGCTAACTGTTGAAGTAACATAGAATCTTGGAGATATAGTTAAACTTGCTATTTCGGCGTTGTGTAGACATGCAAGGGCATACGTTTTCATTAGCTTAATGTCGAAAGCCCATTAAAATGGTTGCGATGCTTTCAATAATAAATTCATGAATGTTCTTTTTCTTATATAGGTTCAGTATGAAGATAACTTATCTGAATAGTCTAAAATTCATTTCGATTATCACATAGACTGTTGTGAATATGACCATTAACTCATAAAATCCTCACGAATAGTGCAGAAATTTAATTGGTGAGGTCAACGTGCTTGTTTGGGTTTCCGTTAATTCTTAAGTTCAGTTAACTTTAATTCAGTTGTTTAGTTTGATCAATGCATGAATCTCACTCTGCGTGCAGTAGCCTTAGATGGTAGATGAGAACACAATGACCCATGATGCGTAAGATATGTGGGTAAATGGTCAATATGAAGTTCATAATGCTTGAAATTAGACTCCTTGTTATTTGAAACCAATTACAGTTACAGCCTAGTGAATCCTCTTGGTGGTCGTAAGAACTTAAGGATAGACCCTTAGGCTCATGTTGATTCACCATATGCTAGAGAACAGTAAGCTCCAGCAGATATATGTAGAAATAATAAGACCAACTTCAACTCGATTGTTAACTGTCTTCTAACCCACTTTCTCCCATAAGCAATCATCCTAGATCTACTTGACAATTCCCTTCTTTGGGACACGAATCAAGATGAAGCATAAAACAAGTGTGGGACATTTTCCCTGTTAATGTACACAGAAACTAAATGAGAACACAAGTTTCATAAGAAGATACGATTAACAGGATCCTGTCGAAATCCTAAAGTATCCTGTGGTGCTTTACGTGAATGATTGTTGAACATCTTCATAATATGGTTCAGTTCTCGAACGCTTGCATCCGGGTTTCATTGGTGAAGTGCATTCATACCGCACGTAATGACGTCCCGTTAATTCACTTCTGACGGGTAAACGAATTGAAGTGTCTCGGTGTGAAGCGTTTGAATCCCTAAAAACGGTAATGACAAATTTTTCTCACCTTCATGAATCTCTTCTCTCTCCCGTTGGGATTGGATTCAGGTATGAAAAGGACTAGAAAGCATAACTCGTTGGAATATACGACCAACATCACACAACACTAATTGCCTATTCAGTAAATTTGACACTACAGGCATATTATAAGGCATCATCTAATGGATACACTTTGAATTATCACATGCGTTATAAAATAAGCCAGCTGTGAGATAAAACCACTGATAAACATTATTCAGTAAATCCACAGAAATGGATGGGACTACTCACTGGCGTGTTGATATACCACTCACACGAGATGCAGGATATCACTTAACTAAGCAACATCAACCAGTCAGAAGGTTAATTTGTTGTACTTTCTTCCCACTGGAATTAAGCGACAATTTACTAGGGTCTCACCGTGAAATTCATGTTCCTATATTACGGAAATATGTTGGGATAAATCCGTTGAAATTCTACGCCATTCGTAACGCTATGTGTTGAATTACTCAGCAACATCTGACAGCTAAAGACATGTTGCCAAGTCATTCAACACATAGCTTTGCGAGTGAGCTAGAACTTCAAAAAGCTTATTCATATGCATTTGAACAATTCAGCAATATTTTCTTTACTTCCAATCCTTCCTTCCTGCAAACTGTTGCATCTCAAACAATCAATAGCTTAGTGCAGTGACATGGATGAACTATAGATGGATAATATCATTTTCAGCAATATCAATAGCAGTACCTCACACACTGCATCCATACATTTGTAGCATACAAACCGACAGTCACACAAGAGAGGAGGCGGAACACCAGCTAGGCAATAACTTATGTTCAATACAGTTACAAAAACTAGAAATTGCGAGTCTAGCCGTTTCAATTTATTGGTCTTTTAGTCTTCGTCAATATGAAGTCTCAGCAGTTGTTTTTCCTTTCTTGTCAGGAAATTGACTTCCGAGTGTTCTCCTGAAAAAAAACACAGAGAACATTATTCACCGTTACATGAATGCAGGCTTTTATGACAATGTGCATCCATTTCCATACAGTTGAATGTTTTCTATACAAATATTTGCCGGGATCGAATTGCCACATCATACGGTTATCTCATGTTACTGAGTGAAATGCTGCCTTCCTCTTACATTACAATTTAAATCTCATCTAACTTAAATTTAGTAGTCCACTACGGAAATCAGTGAGTAACTAGATTTGGCACATTTAACAAAATGTAAACCCACTAGAGTTTGGCTAGCCAAATTCAACTGAAGGCTGACTGTAGTTATAAACTCATGGCCTTACTACAAGATGAAAACTTCAAAGCAGAATTACTGGCAGACTTACAAGCTGACCCTACCAAATTTTTTACGATGGTAGAAAAAGAGTTGGAAGATATATCCAAGACAAAGCCTGTGGATCAGTATGTTCGGTTGCAGAAAATAGGTCAGGGTACTTTTGGGGAGGTTTTCAAAGTTCGGCATAAGTCTACAAAGCAGCATTTCGCTCTGAAACGAATACGTATGGAGCAAGAAAAGGAAGGATTTCCCATAACTGCTTTAAGAGAAATCAGAATTTTACAGTCCCTCGATCACGAGAACATTGTGCGTCTGAAAGAAATATGCCATAGTCCACCTAATGCTGGTAATGGATTTAAACCACAATTTTATCTCGTTTTTGAGTTTTGTGACCACGATCTTGCGGGTTTGAGTCAACAAATTGACTTTACAGAACCTGTTAAGAAAGCGATTATGAAACAATTACTCACAGGAGTATTTTATCTTCACCTAAATAACGTTTTACATCGTGATTTAAAAGCTGCAAACATTTTGATTGACAAGAATGGTATTCTAAAGATAGCTGATTTCGGCTTAGCTCGTACCACTGTCGCATCTATACGACCTGATAGACCAACACGCTATACTGGTCGCGTGGTTACTTTATGGTATCGACCTCCAGAAATTCTGTTAAATGATCGTCATTATGGAAAGCCTGTTGATATGTGGGGTGCTGGATGTATTATGGCTGAATTATGGACAAAGTATCCCATTATGCAGGGGGATAACGAAATTAGCCAGTTAAACTTAATCATCAATCTCTGTGGATCTATAACACCTGAAATTTGGCCTGGTGTAGAACGTTTAGAAACTTATCGAGAGGCTCGTTTACCACAGGATATCAAGCGCCATGTTCGAGAGAAACTAACTCCTAAAATATCATCTCTTGCTGCAGTAGATCTTATTGATCAGTTGCTTGTCTTAGATCCTAGCAAACGTCTTGATGCTGAACAAGCTCTTTCACACGATTATTTCTACGAGGATCCTCCTGCAGGTGATTTAAGATCATTTTCTAAATCTGGAACATCATATCTTGAATTTTTATCATCGAGCAATGTTCGTGGTCGTATGTTACAAGGTGCGAATCGTGCAGGAATAGTTCGAGGACCTGTTGTTGGCCCAGGTCAGCAGATGAACTACCTTAGTGGGCCTGGTATTATGCATCCGAATCGTCGTCCACCTCAACCAGATGATAATTCGTATTACGAACGTGTTTTCTAAAAGTTACATGTAAATAAGTTTATCTGATTTCCTTCTTTTTATTCTTATTCTTCTACTTAGTGTCACTTATGTATATATTGTGGTGATATAATACTTTAATATTGATACTACTAATCTCAATCCCTTTAGGAAAGAAAGCACTTGTAAATTTTGTTCTACTTTCAGTAATGATTTGGAAAAGTTTGCGTGCATACTGTATAATTAACAAAAAAGATATCGTTCTCTGAATTCCCAACCATTGTTTTATCATAATCACCTTGTTGCATAATTTTCTAATCGCCTAATAATATTATTATGCCTAGACCCCTCTTTGATATTTCTACATTTCATGGACTTTGTAAAGTACACATGACCAGTCATTTTTGTTGGAATTCGCATCATTATTTAAAAAAAATCATGTAAATATCATTATACAACCTTATAATAAATTTGTTGAAAAGAGTCACTTCTCTGAATCACTTTTTTGATGTATGACCTAAGGAGGATTTTCTATGAATCCTGACCAACTATCTAGGCACGCTCACCATGGATATAATGAGCCAGTTCTGTGTCTTCAGGCATGCTAGTTACACGACTGGTGTAGATGATTGTAAAGTGATTGACTAACGGAATATGCTAGAGGGAGATTAGTTGTGGATTTCATTCATCCAGAAGCTCACATGGCGTAAGATACATGTACTTGTAGAGTGTTCACCACCTGTACGTTTCTCTGTCGTCATTTGGCGAAGCCTCGTATAACCTAACCACAATTTGATGGTAAGTTAAACTTATAATAATTTTATATTTCAGTTGGGTGGATGCTTAGGAATTATCGGGGATGGTTTTTTACAAGCAAATTTCTGCATCCAGTGTTAGCAGCCTCACCAGTGAAGGGGTACTGAAGGATATAAAATGTTCTGGCATTTCAGTTAGTGTTTACCGTGTCAAGGGTAAGTTGGTGTACATATTTATTTTCACTTTCATCCTACATTCGTTTTGATACAGAATGTATTCACACGGATTAAGTGAATTTGATTAATTGTCTCATTGGTTATGATCAAAAGAACCATTACTAGTCGTTGGAGGATTATATAAGGATCTTACTGGGTTATAACCTCGATTAATTAACCAAATACCACTATATATTGACCCCGATATTAAGAACATTCAGAAACAACAAAATAACAGGACTTAAGTAAGATATTACAGAGGGTTGTGGTATGTGGTGTTTGTTGACGATCGATAAATTATTCTTTCAAATAGTTCTGTGGTGTATATAACCGTAGTAAGTTATGGCGTTGCAAACCTAAGATGGTCTTTCTGAACTAGTTTCCTCTTCCTGCTTTCTCTCTCTTTTCATTAAATAAGCGAATTGTAAGCAAGATGGCTGGTGATTGCTGATCAGCCGACCTAGTAGTGGAGGCATTTGGGAAGCAGCCTTTTCTGTGGGATACCACAATCCTTAGCTATAGCTCCTAATTTTGAAAAAGAAAACTGTCTCAGATCCAGTGCTTTGTAATGATCCCTTTTCATTTTATTCTTTTTCGTTCTGAGTGAAACTTAGGGCTTCAAACTGGAGCTTCGAAGTTTCAGTAGCAGTAGTGTTTAGTTTTTATGGGGTAGGGTTGCTGGCCCCAAGCCCAAATTTGCCTCTTTAATTAGCTTACTACGGGCTAGGCGGGGTTTAAGAGTGCGTTGGTCGGGGTTTGAACTGCGGACCATGTGAATTGTTGGTGAGTGTCCTACCATTGAACCGCCAACGAACCCTTGATAATGCAATCTCCCGTAATGCAAGTACATGGTATTGACTTGCTATTTCAGACACTAGTATGCACACTGATTAACCCTGTTTTTTACATGATTTGTCGCACTCTGACCTTTGGGTTGAACATCTCTCCATAATATTTTCATATGAGATTACCTGCAATAGACGGAGACTGCCATCTCCTTATTACTACTGTACATTTTAAATACTCGTTATTGCAAAACATTGTTAAGTTTCATCATCTAAGTTTTACGTATAAGATGAATAATATAGTTGTGTTATAATTGTGACTTCTCTTAAGCATCATTAGATGTTGTATAGTCCTTGTGAGCTACTTTTCTACTGCTCTTGCAGTTATCATCTTATGTCTTCTTTCTTCACAGGTACTATCATAGATCACAGCAGTGAGACAGTAATGCTACCTCCCTATATTAGTATTACTCAAACACAGTATTATATTCGCACGGACTACCCTACGTTCAGTATAGTGTTTGTACACTCAATAGAGATCAAAATGGCCATCTGTGTCACGAAATCTACTCATATAATTCAAAACAGGAATTAAAATAACTACTGTCGTCATGTAATAATGTTATATCTGCCAGCAATTGTGGATTTGTCTAGTTTCTGAAAAGCACCAGATTTAAGACTGCAGTCTTTGGCGTGTTTTTTATGTCCCATTAACTACTTGGTGCATGTAAATTTTGAAGTCCTTATGTTTCTTTTAGCGTCATTTTACACCACTGTGTAACTCCTAATAAATAACGTAAACTTTTGAAACCTGAGCATATAACAGACGAACAATCGGTATTCTTCAGAATGAAGTCTCTATGTAACTTATCAAATCGCAATTGCTTTCATGAGAACTGTTTCATCAAATACCTATCTAAAATTAGTAACTCTCGTCTTGATATTTCGGACAGTCAGACCAACAACCGTTTAATACTCATTTTAATTTTGTACTAATATGTGATATAATTGCTAACAATAAATAATATTATACAAATGGTTCCTTGAAAAGCTTTGTCTAGATACTTTTTGCCTTTCCTCTGGTGACATGATTTGTAATAAATTACGTATTTATAGTTTGAAACTAATCACTTTCCTGCATTTAGAGATTATTATTATTATTGTTTCCTTTAATTCCTAGAGGAACATAGGGTCTCAGCCGCACGTCTCCACTGCGTTCGGTTCTCTGCCAACGTTTCCACCTGGCTGCTCATATGCTTTCATCTCCTCTTCGCAAGACCACCTCCATGTCACCCTCGCACTGACGGCCAACTCGCCGCTTCCCATTCGGTTTTCACTTGAGCGCTGACCTGGCGTATGATGTCACTTGATGATTTGTTTTCTCAGCGTATGGCCAACGCACCTCCATTTCTTCCTGTATATTTGTTGCACAGTCGGTCGGTTGGTTCGCTCTCAGAGATCCTCCCTGTGGCTGATCTGTTCTGGCCGGCCATCTGGTCTTGAGTATTGAGCGAAGACAGCTTTTGGTGAAAGTCTGTAGTTTGTTCGAAGTGCCCTTCTTAATGCGGCGCCAAGTCTCTGATCCGTATAGTAGCACTGACTTCACATTGGAGTTGAAAAATCCGGATCTTATTTTTGATGCTGAGTGCTGTTGACCTCCACACAGACTTGAGAGTAATGAAAGCTTGTCTTGCTTTTCCGATCCTTGCTTTGATATCCTCATCAGTTCCGTCCGCCTGTAGTTGAAACGATGCTTCCCAGGTCGGTAGGTAGGTGAAGGAGTTTGCTTCTCTCAGATTTCTCCCATTGTTGTCTTTGTTGTTGCTGTTGCTGCTGGCGAGAAATCTTGGTCACCTCTGTTTTCTCTATGTTCACCTGAAGTCCTATCTTTGATGCTTCTTCTTCCGTCGCCAACTTGTTGCTTTTCACTTGCGTATCTTCCAGTTTGTGGGAAATCAGATATATATATCATCAGTGAATTCCAGGTCCTCCAAGTTTTTGTGAAGGTGCATTTTATGCCTGTTTCCTCGTTGTCCGGCCTGCTGTCTGTTGCATTATCCAGTCTAGCGCAATCAGGAAATCATTGGAAATAGTAGGCAGCCAGCTTGTCTTACTCCCGTCTTCACTTCGAAGGATTCCGTGAGTTTCCTGTTGTGGATTACTTGGCATGCTGCATTATCGTACAACTGTTGGATGAGGTAGAAATAGTGAGGTATACCCAACGCTAATTCAAAAACCAAGTCAATCAAAAAATGCATTTGATAGGGTAATAAAAGAGTGTAAATACAGGTACTAGCTTCTCAGTGAAAACAGCTGAGGTCACAGGTTATGCTGTGCTGTCATATATTTATCTCGTGCATTGCCCCTTAGCAGTCAGATTTTGTCCTAAATGTTTCGATAACCTTAAGACACTTCAAGTCCTTCATATGTAGGGAATCGGCATCGAATGTCCGATTTGAATATACAGCTCAGACAGAGATTAAAAAGCGAAGATAGACAGCTGTCCTCATATAGTTGGGGGTATAACGTATAGAATTCTGTGCGAGTAACTGCTATTGCAGTTTTGTATAGTAGTAGTTGCACTTCTAGGAGAGTCTGTATGAGTAAAGGATGTATTAGTGAACCAACGGATAACTTTAAATAACAGAAAATTCATTGGGGAGCGGTCACAGGCGAAAAGGAAATCAGCAAACAGAGACCGAAATTGGGATTTTGTCCCAGAGTGCATAACGAAAGACTGTAAATGCAGTTTCATTCGGTACTTGGTAGTAAAAATGTCTGCTTGTGGCCATCGTGTTTAAATAGGTGGAACAATTACGTCTGTAGCTTCTGTGCAAAACGTCAGACTGAGTTTTGAGATTCTCCGTCAAGGCTGCTCAAGTTCGCAGTGTATGCACCTATCTCCATGAGAAAGGCATCCATCAGTGCGTTGTAGGCATCATGTAAGACTGTGTTGAACATTTTCGACAGGCTCCAACCTTATTTCTCCTCAGGTAAAACAAGAAATTTTTTCAGAAGACTTTATGCACGTACGTCTAAGTATAAAAATTCCACTATACCATATTTGGCGCGTACTTTATGTGATGAAAATAGTGTCAGGCATGAACTAACTAACCTTCTTTGCACTAGTAAATAAACCATTTCCTCCATCCTTACAACATCAACCTTTATTGTACTTCTCATATTTATAATCCTCTCAATTTTTTGTTTTTATTTGTTTATTTTTTTCATAAGCGTGAACATCATTTAAGCTGTGTTATAACTATTAATTTGTATTTTCTATAGTTTGGTTTGTAAGGGTTAGTTATGTTTTTACGAGTTTATCACGGATTGATATTAGTCAGAGAACCATAGGAAATTAATCTGATGTTCTCTAGTGACTTGCTACAGGATGGAGTTTCCTGGAGTTCTAGTGAAAAGTCGTGACCATTGAGGTCCAATTAGATGTCACGTGTGTGGATGGATGTCCCACCAACGACAATGGTTGGGGTTGTAACCGGAAGGTCCTGGGTTCGAATCCCAGTGGGTGAGTACTGCCGATGATTCCCAAACTAGGATGAAATAGCAGCTGTCCAGTACTCCCTGGTTTTCAATGGTTCTCTGACTGATATCAATCCGTGATCAACTCGTAGAAATTTTGTATTTCCTCTCATCATACTGTATCAACAGAACATTACATTCAATAATCTATAACATGCTAAAATTTCCAAACTGAATCGACAATACTGTTTGAAACAAACTCACTGTTATTATTATAATATTTAATATTCTCAATTCGTACTTCGAATATTTTTGAATTTATATCGTAAATGTGGACAAATTCCTCTGGTTATTTTGTTTTAATTTTATTTATATTCTGAGTAATGCTGAAAAATGCTGAGAATTCCATTCTGCATTATAAGTACTGTTTTCGGAATAAAGTAGATTATTATTATTATTATTATTAAATGGTTGTGCCGTGACCGAGTACAGGACGAACTATTATTATTGTTTCCTTTAATTCCTAGAGGAACATAAGGCTTCAGCCGTGCGTCTCCATTGCGTTCGGTTCTCTGCTAGAGTCTTTACCTGGCTCCAAGTCTGTCCACACGTTTGCATCTCCTCTTCACATGACCTCCTCCAAGTCACCCTCGCACTGACGACCAACTCGCCGCTTCCCTTTCGGGTTCCACTTGAGCAATGGCTTGTCTAGTGATGTCACTTGATGGTTTCCTCAGAGTATGGCCAGCCAATCCATCTCCATTTCTTCCTGCCTATTTGTTTCACAATCGGTTCCTGGTTGGTTCGCTCCCAGAGATCCCTGTTGCTGATCTTTTCTGGCCATCTGATCTTGAGCGAAGTATTGAGCGGAGACAACTGTTGATGAAGGTTTGTAGTTTGTTTGAGATGCTCTTTATGACGCGCAGTACAAGTCTCTGATCCGTATAGTAGCACTGACTTCACATTGGAGTTGAAAATCCGGATCTTATTTTTGATACTGAGTGCTGTTGACCTCCACACAGACTTGAGAGTAGTGAAAGCTTGTCTTGCTTTCCCGAACTATAGCCTTGTACAAGAAGAAATTTAGCCTCTGTAGTGTACAATTCTTGGTGAAGAAGGCCAGTGAGTTTTGTGCATTTAGAGAATGAATTTTGATTATTGTAGATATAAAAATTAGTTTGAGTTATTGTTTACGTCATCATAGTGTTTCGAAAATGTGATGAATAATCAAATTGTAACTATGGGGGGGGGGAGTGAAGATTGCTAACTATTGACAAGGGTTGCGTAATATGAAAGACACCCAGAAAAGTAGGATGTCAATTAAAGAATATGTAGACAAGTGTCCAAAATAAATTATGTAACAGGTAGAAATAGGAAATAAAGGGTTGGTTAGGAAAAAGATGTTATTAAGAAGTCATAAAAATTCAAAAAGCGCATTATTAACAAAGTCGTAGAACTTGGAATTATACCCAAGGTAGAAGGAAGGGGTGGAGAAGTTTCTTCTGTGTACATAAATCAGGGTTTTCT